CTGGCAGGGGGGTTGGACTGGATGATCTTTCGAGGTCCCTTCCAACCCCTAAGATTCGTGATTCTGTGATTGAGTGCACCCTCAGCAAGTTTGCTGATGACATCAAAGTGTCTGGTCAGGTCAACATGCCGAAGGAAAGGGAGGCCATTCAGAGGCACATGACAGGCTTGAGAGGTGTGCTCGTGCAAACTGCATGAAATCCAACCAGGCCACATGCAAAGTCCTGCACCGGGGTCGAATGCACAAATACAGGTTGGGTGGAGAATGGATTGAAAACACACCTGAGAACAATTTAGGGGTGATGGTGGATGAGATGGGCATGAATTTAGGAGGTTTGGGGGTGGAGAATTTGGGGCGATTTAGAAATTAATTTGGGTGATTTCTGGAGAAATCTGGGGGATTTAGAGGGAATCTAAGGGATTCAGAGGAATATTTGGGGCAAATGGAGCAAATTTGGAGTAGAGGGGGATTTGAGTGATTTTGATGCAAATTTTGGGGGTCCTGGTGAAAAACTATGAGACTTAAGGGTAAATTTTGGAAGTCTGCTGTTTTAGAGGAATTGGAAGGATTTTAAACTGAGGGAAACTCAGAGGTTTGGAGAGGATATGGTGAATTTTAGGGTGATTTAGGGAAAAATTGAGGGGTTTGGAGAGAACTGAAAGAATTTTGGGGCACATTTGGAGATTTGGGGTAGATTTGGGGGATTTTGGAACCATTTAGGAAATTCTGGGGAGTGTGAAGAGATCTGAGGAAAATCTATGGAGTTTTGCAACATTTTTGCAAGTCTGCAAAAAATTTGCACACTGAAGAAGTGTGGCTGTTTTCGGGCAATATAGGGGATTTTGGGGAAAATTTGTAGCAATTTGGGGGCAGTCTGCATTTTGGGATTATTTTGGGCAATTCGAAGAAAATTTGGTGCATTTGGGATAATTTTGGGATTTTGAGGGATTTGATGGAAAATCTGGGGAATTTTGGGGCAGTTGGAGGGAAATAGAGGGACCTGAGGGATTTGGGAGCAGTTTTTCAGAATTCTGGGAGGGATTTGAAATAAATTTAGGGGGGTTTGGCATTACTTTGGGTGCATTTTGGGTGATTTGGGGGAATTTCAGTGACTCCCCCCACGAAGGAAGTCACAGGTAAAGAAGTGACACACTGGGGAAGATAGAGAAGGGGGAAAGTGCAGGAAGTGCAACTTCCACTGGAGGTTTATTTTAGGTAATGTCCCAACCCATTGCTCCCAGACAGTCCCTGAAGCTGGCAGGGTGACACGGATTTACCTGTTTGTCACAGTTGCTCCCCAGCCTGGAGTCTGTGAGCAGCTGCCTCCTGTCATGACCATCTACACACCTGCCCCTGTTCCTGGGCTCACCTGCCATGGGACACACACCAGGAACTTCCCAGGAATTGAGAGGAGAATAGAAAGGGTTTTCTACATTTCTCCAGAGCCAAGAGATGAAGCAGCACTTGGGACATTCACTGGGTAAGGAAGCTCAGCTCTGTCACTGCCAAAGGCAGCAGCTCCTGAGTGAGTTCCAGGTGTCTGGGTGCTAAAGGAAACCAGAGGAACAGGAGCTCAGGGGCGTCTCTGCATCATTCCTAGAAATACTGCACACGGGGAATCCAATTGCTCTGCAAACTACCTCTTTTGTAGAAACATTCACAAAGTTTAGGCATTCTGCAGACAATTGCGTTCATTTTCCCATCTCCCAACTTCACTCCTCACCTCCTCTGCAGGGAAGCAAACCTACATAATTCGTTACATGGGAAGGAAAACTAACTCAGAGCTATTACATGTCTTTCCATACAGAAAAATAAACATACAGGAAGAACTAACTGATAGCTATCACAAAGAGCTGGAAAACTTATAAATTCAAAACCAGGGTCCTTCAACAGACAGAATTCCATGAGCTGCCTGAAGGAAGCTGCTTTTGCAGGGAGGTGGGAGTGCTCAGGATTCCATTCGGCACCATCTTCACATAGCAGTTTTGAGTAGAACAAGTGGTTTTATTTAAGAGGGCACCTGTAATGGCTTTTAGGAACATGATTGCTGACAGCGTCTTCTTTTCAAACTCAAGGAAAAAAAAGAAAAAGAAGAAAATCCCACCTTAGCCCCCAACTCCTCCCCTGCTGGCCCTGGTGGCTGAGCTGCTGGACGTGGCCAAAATGCACCAGCAAAAGTCTGTCACAGCACTCAGAACCATGACAAGATGTCTGTGAGATGCAGGAGAAAACTGGCCACCCATTTGTCCCCACCAGACCCCGTGACTGCCAGCAGCACAGTCACAGCCAAAAAACACGATTAGTCCTGCTACCAACCACACTGCGTCACTGTTCCACTGCTCTCTTATCCCACAGATAATAAAGAGAAACCAAGAAACCCGAGAACTAAACGTACTTTAATCAGTGACACTCATACACGCAGTCACCACCACAGGGGCTCTACTCCTGCACCGCAGCCGTGCCTCTGGAAAGGCAAAAGCCAGGTGCTGCCTGGTGGGGACTCACTGCTCCCAGACGATCTTCAGGTTGGGGGGCAGCTTTGCCGCACACAGTTCGTCAAACTTGGAGGCATCCTTCACAGGAGTGCTGTAGAAATCCAGGACATCCCCAACGCTGCGCATCAGGTGGAGCTGGGAATTGGGGACAGTGTGATGGAGCTCTGCTGCCAGCTGGGCCAGGAGGTGAAACTTTAACCTCGTGTCATCAAGGGGCGTCTGCTGCCAGTTCTCAGGAAGCGAGGGTCCAAAGACCTCCTTGACCACAGAGTGGAGGAAGTTCTGCACATCCCCCGGGGGCTGATAGCTCCGGCTGCGCCGCGGGGGACAGACCAGACTGCGCTCGCTCTTCTCTTCAGCAACTGCTTTCTCAGCTTCTGCTTCTTTTTCCTCCTTCCTGCTGTTTTTCAGTCGCTGAGCTACTGAAGATTGGGTCAGAACACATTTCTCTTCACAACCCTTTGACACCAGGCTCATCCCAGCCTGCAGGACGCTGTCCCATCCCGTGGGCACAGCTGGCTCGTTATGCACAGCAGAACAAAGTTGCACAGTGAGGCCTTTGCTTCTAACCCAAATGCTGCTCACCACACAGCAATCACCTGCCCAGCTGGCTTTACTGGACAAAAGTAAAGAGTGTAAACAGAATTTTTACCAGATTTTAATAAATTTCCTTACTTTCCCAGTTACAGCTCCACCTTCTAATCTGTTGTGGAAAAAAAAAGAGATAAAAGAGAATAACCACTACTTGAGAAAAAAGTAGTGCTTACGGATGTAAAAAATATATATATACATCTCACTAGTTTTAATTGGAAAATTAAAGACCTACTCCAAGTTATCTGACTTGCTCATATGCCACCATCTGGGTCAACAGCACCAGTATGGCTTTGATATCAGCAGGCAGAGGTAAACATTCACAAACTGGGTGACCTGGACGATGTTTTGAAATCACTACAACAAGAACAGAGGTTGCATGCCCAAAACCGTATCTATGGGTCAGAACTGTCTAGAAGCAGGACCCGTAACAGGGTAAAACACTAAGCAGCAGCGGGTAAGAACTCAGCAGTAGCTGACAGGATGACCATATAACCTCTAGATGCCTTACTGAATTTTAATGCTAACAAGGGGTAATGGTTTTAAACTGAGAGAGGGGAGATTTAAGTTAGATATTAGGAAGAAATTATTCATTATAAGGGTGGTGAGGAACTGGAATGGGTTGCCCAGGGAGGTTGTTGATGCCCCGTCCCTGGAGGTTTTTAAGGCCAGGTTGGACGAGGTTTTGTGCAATCTGATCTAGTGGTGGGGTTCCCTGCTCGTGGCAGGGGGGCTGGAACTTGGTGATCTTTAAGGTCCCTTCCAACCTTAATGATTCTATGATTCGATGTGAGTAATGAGTGTGCTAACCTGGTAATCCTCCCTAAATGCCGTAAATACAAACTTAGATGTGTATGCCTAGGTAGGAACGGTGAATAAATCATCGTTAACCCACCATGCATTTTCTTGTACTTCTTCCTGCGTTGCTATTGCGTACAGAAACCCTGCCTGCCTCCCGACGGGCGTGCTGCCTGCTGTCCGGCGCCCAGTGCACAACAGACCAATATGCTCAAGCAACTCTGGATCGGCTGCCTCTTCGCACAGCAGGTGAAGAATCAGAACCGCTTCGGTTCTCTCACCAAAGCAGG